TATATGAATATATGTTAGAGTAAAAAACTTGCATAATCATAAATTCTCTCTTGCATGCAAATTATAGAGCATATTTTCCTTTGTGCATACAAGATTGTATGTTAAAGAAATGAAAAAAAGATTTCTGTAGTTTTATGATCAGATAATTCAATATTAATTTATTTTCAAACTTTGAAAATAACAAAATACATTTTCAAATAGCAACAAATCACTTTCATATGATGAGGACAAATTTTATATTTACTAAGTGGTTTGTGCATTAAACACAATGTCATACTTGTAAGTAACTTTGTAAGCAGCAAATTAGAATCATGAGCTTGAACAAGGTGAAAATGATGGGTTTAGTAAAAGAACCAATATTCTATTTGCTACCTGTCATAGTAGCAGTTGGATATGGTGAACAAGTTGTTGTCAATAGTAAAAAGATTATTCTTTATCTGGCTTGATACAGCAGAGACAATGAAAGTGCTGAACTTGAAAATAAATGCAATGCATCTCAAAATATGAAATGCATATCAGTGTAATTTGAATTAGAACCAATAAATAAATATTTTTACATTTAGAGGAAAAAATGAAAATAAGCTACAAAAGGCTTAATACAACATATGTTTTTTCAAACATCAAATACGCTTTTTCAGAGTAAACAAAAACATCAGTTTAGATAGAAATGGCCAATCTAGACAATGACTAACATTTTTATTATGTCTGAAAGATATTCAGCAATTACCTTAAACTAACAGTAAATCTAAAAATCCTCCTTGACACCTTTTAGTCTAATATATCAATCTTAATACTTTGATATAACAGAATAAGAATTGATTCCAAAAGGATTTTGATATTTTGTTATTTGATAAATTTTGGGAAATGGGTTTGACAAAGATATTTTCATCAACTATCTTATAGGTTTTATTTTATATTCTCTATAAAACTGTCAACTTAGAAATGTAATTACAAAGATGAGTACAAAAATAAAAGATTCTTTCAAACACAAACTTAGAATACATTGAGTTTTTCATTTAACATTTCCCTTTATTTTTATTTTATTTGATTCATGAAAACAAACATTTGTTAGACTTTGGAGCATCCATTGAGAAACTAATCAACTTCAGCCCAAAGTCAAATTTTTAAAGTGTTTAGGATCAAACTCACTAACTCTTAATGGCTTGTGAGGCAATCACACACATCATTCACTGTAACAAGTGTTCTTAAAACAGATATATACTATTTTCATGAAAATTTGATTGTTGTAATATTATTCTTATTTAAGTTAATTAGATAAATATTATAACACTTGTGTTGGTAAAATTTAAACCTACAATCAAATCAGCCAACCCAGCTCAGCTGACATGTCTTAGTAATTCAGGTTAATACACTCATTATTACTGTTGCTTAAGCAATAAATACAAGTACCATCTTAGGAATATTAGAATAAGCAATGATTGAAATCAAACAACATGTTATATACTTCTAAATGCAAATTTCACAGAAATTTAGATTCTTAACTCAAGAACAGTAGCTGATATATAGCAATATAGAGTTCATTACTGTTATTTACTTCAATCAAATTCTTGTTCAGTCTAATAAAGATTAACGTTTAGGTTAATTTGAAAAAAAAATACAACCACGAGAAGAATCAAGTAGAAAACAATATTGGAAAAATGTTATCTGAAGTGAAAGATAAAACCATATGTGCTTAAGAAAATAATATATTTCCTTGCATCATTTCTTTCTATGGTACTTTTTCATATTACAGTAGGAGAACCTAAAAAATGAAAGTTGCAATTACAATATAGAAGTTAAAATAAACAAACAAGTTTTTAGCTAAAATCTATTTCAATGAATATTTGAAACTTAACATGATACCTTCTAATACTATGGCCATAATACTTATAATTTTCTGACTTACTAAAAGTTAAAAAAAAAAAAAAAAAAAAAAATGACCTTGATACTTTTGGGATAATAGTGAAATCTAATGCATGAAATGTCCTGTTAAAATGTTTACAGTTATTTCACATTTAGTCTTTTACATACCTTGGAAGCAAAATAAATTCTACTCAAAAGGATATGAAAATTTGCATAACTAAAGTCTGGGCTGCTTAAAATGGATGTAATCTGGAAATCTGATCTACCAGACAACCACAAACAGAGGTTCATTTGTGCCACTATAGAGTTTTAATGTAGTATGGTGCCAATGCTTGGGCATTAACTAAAAACCTTGAGTCTAAGCTTAATGGAAACAACACTTGGATGCTGAGAGATATACTTAACATCTCTTGGAGACAACATCCAACTAAATCACAACTATGGACCCATTCCTGATATTTCTACAATCTTATATGAATGCAGAATGCACTTTGCAGGACACTGTTGGTGAGCAAAACAAGAACTCAAGAGTGGCCTACTATTCTGAACACCTAGCCATGGCACAAGACTGGTTGGTCATACAACAACCACCAACTATGTTATGACACAGAATACCACCCTAATGACCTTCTGACCATGATGCTTGGCATGATAGACTCATGAATGTCTGAAATAGCTTGACTGAATAAATAAATATTTCACTAGGATATGGTGGTAGAAAATTAAAACTGTATTATATGTAAATATATAAATATTTTCTGAAAGATAAAATGAAGCCTGACTGTTACAACAAATATTTTAGTAAATACAAAGGGTACTGACTGAGAAGCACTTAAAAGAATATATAATTTTTAGTAATGTCATCAGGTTTTGGAAAGTGGGTCAAGTTGAGAAGTTTTCAACACCTCCTTGTATTAGTATATACTAATATATTTACATCTTTCTATTTCCTATTACAAATTGGAAGTTATAAAATTTGGTTGGCATCAACTATTGGAAATCACAATAAATACTCTTTGCTACATCTTTCAGTAGAATTCTAACTTTTGGATGATTATATATAGAATATGTTTCCAGCATGTACCAACATTTCAATTTTGGTTATGTCATAAGTCAGCATATTTCAAGAGTGTAATCTATATATCAATGAAATTTGAAAACATTTTTAATGAATCTGTGAAGAATAGGAAAAATTTTATCATAATGAGCTATGTTATGCATTTTTTCAAAAGTCATTTTTCCTGTTTAACAAATTTAAATCATGATCAATTTGCAAAATTTTCCTATACATGCAGTGATAAAGCAAACTATTGTGGAAGAAACATTAACAACTCAACTAACAACAAATACCCAGCTTCAGAATTAAGGAAGGGTGATACACATGAATGACTGTAAAAAAGAAAACATATAGTAGTAATGATAATTATTGATGGTAGTGAAAAAGAACTAATCTAGTAGTAGTTAATCTTAATATATCATCTTGCTTATCCAACATGTTCTAATACATATTTTCCACTGACATTCAATGTCTTGCTGTATGTAAAAATTTAGGTACTTGTTAAATTATTATCAACTTTTGTTAGTAAAGCATTCTTTTTCTTCTTCTTTTTCTTCTTATTATTATTACAAGTGCTAGTATCATTATCAGGTTTACAAAGCAGCAAATCATGGGATAAAGAAAGCCTGTAGAAAACATGCTGATACATGGGGGTGGGATTTAATGGTCTGAAGGTTGCAGGATTTATAGGTATAACAGAAGCAAAGCATATATATAAGTAAAACACTAGGCAAAAAAAGAGTGTGCTGTTGGTAAAGGAATATTTTAGCACCTCAAGATTGAGATAAATATATAGGATATTTATGTTAATGGTAAATATGCAAATCTCTTCAAAAACTGACATGCTAGGAGAATTCTGAGTGATGATTCAAGATCAGCATCATTTGCTTGGGGAGCAAACAAAATGTTTATTTTTATTGCCCAGTGTAATCAAAGGAAAAGCAAAAAAGATTTTTCAACATGTTTTGTTGCTTAGCAAAAATGTCATTTTCTTCCAGCCACATTTTGAAACAATATTTAAATCATTTTTATGCCATAAACAGTCTTATTGTATTACAAAAAAAATGTGCATATAAAAATGAATGCAGATATTGAGTGCAGAAACAAACTAAAACTTAATTGATCGGCTCAACTAAGCCATCTAGGCAACAAGGTCATATTACATAAACATTTCACAATGAAACTATACAATTATTGAAACTGGAGTAAACTATTTAAGAAAAGTATTAATGTTGCTAAACTTTTCATATTAAAGGAAGTTTTCCAAAGGTAAAGTGAATACCAAAATACTGACTGGAAAAATTTGTTCATTTAGTAAAAAAGGGTAATTTTTTTATGTTTCAGTAAGATATATTTTAATAATGTTGTAGACTTTACAAGTGCAGGTATGATGAGTTAGAGTGGTGGATTCTATTTTAAGAGTTCGCCAGCAGTTTTATGTCTGAATGAGAATTTATGAAATTTACAGACTTGGCACAAAGAATGGTACTGCAGTTTTCAGTTTAACTTAAAAGCAAAATTATAAATATTATTTTTTTCTTAAGAAATTGCTAAACACAAATTAAAAGTAGCAGGTAATTTTTTTTTAAATTTAATTTATAATCTTATTTCATTTATATTTATGTTACAAAAACAACAGGTATTTTTCCATTTTATGTTAACAGAATGCAGGGAAGATAACTTAGGCTGTATTAAGACTGAAGCCAAATGTAAACATTGTTTGCTGACATGATTGTTGTTTGAATATAGTACTCCTCTTACCAATGATCTTACAGTAACAAAATAACTCTGAAAGAAATAGCTGAAAATTCTTTTATTCAGAAAAACACAGGTATTATTAGGCATGTGAAAAAAGTTTCCAGTTATTATTTAGTGATAAAAAATATTTTAAAAAGAGTTTTATGTATTCAAGTCTAGTCTTCAAAAAAGATGGTGCTGATAACTTTTGAGCATACTTCATATTTCTGAAATAACATACAAGTGTATAAACAAAGTAGAGATAGTTTCTATGCAACTACTTATGGTGCTGTGCAATATGAACTAAAGATTTGTTCAGCTTTGAAAGAATCAGTTGACTTACCTTGACGGTGGGAAGCATTAACAGTAGTTAGTGTTTGCAGTGACAGAGGCACCTGGGAAGAACTATAAAAACATTTTTTTTAAATAAAGAATTTTAAAAATTATTATTACAATTATTTATCCAACACTAAATTTATAAATTACATTTTCCATATTAACTACAACGCTTCCTATCTTATAATTGCTAGAAGCACTATTTTTTTTTACTAAATATCTATGCATATGATATTACAAAGATTTTTGTGTGGCCTTTTTCCAAGAATTAGGGAAAAGCTTGTGACCTGTTTATTATTAAAAATATCTTCATACAAATAACAAATGGTCCTTTCTTTAACAGAAACTAAAATGATACATTAAATATCAGATGAGTTCATTTTGTAAAAAATGCAGAAGGTAGCATGGAAAACATGAAAATTTTCTTAAGCTGAATTTTAGTACTTTTGGTGAACTCCTTATTAAATAATACATGATTTCAATTCAGTAGAAATTTTAATTCACTAAATGTGCATTTAGTGGCAGATTCATTATAAAAAAATATATTCAATTGGGCCTTGGATATTTCTATGATAGACTAATGTGATAATTTCAAGAAAATGTGAAGTAAATATGAATTAAATAATATTAACAGAAATTTTCATTCAATTCAATTGAAATTTTCATTTTATTTATGTTTTCTTATTTGAATCTTAATTCTTAATTTAATGATTGAATACGTTCCTTGCAAGTTCCAGGACTATAAAATACAGTTGCATCATAAAATATTTGAGTTTAACAAATAACAAAATATTGAAATAATAATCATTAGTATGAATGCTGGTCATTATTTAAAAAAAAAAAAAAAAACAAAAAAAAAACATACAAATGAAAAGATTCAAAATGGACAAGGTTTTATATTTCACTGAAATAAATGTCAAAGGCATAAGAGAGTTATCCTGTACTCTGTCTTCTCTTTCTTTCTTTTTTCTTTCTCATTATTATTATTATGTATGGGGTCATTCAAAAAGTTCTAAGCCTCACCCAGAAAGAAGAGACATAATTGAACATTTTTGTTGTGGCAACACACTACCACTTCTTATAAAACTAATTCAGATTTCTGTCTTAATTTCTGTCCAGGTGAAACCCATATAAAGGTGAGAGGTGGGCAACAAATCTAAAAATGGACAAAACAGAGGATAAAGCAGTCATAAAGTATCTGCAAATGAAAGGTATGACCCCAAAGTAAGTCCATGAGGACATGGTACAGACACTTGCTGAGGAGTCTCCTTCCTTTGCAACTCTGGAGAAGTGGGATGTGGAATTCAAGTAAGGCAGGGACAGCACAGAAATTGACCCTTGGTCAGGTCATCCAAAACCTCAATTACTGATAAACAATTTGATGCCATTCACTATATAGTTTTTGGATGACAGACGTCTTACTGTCCAGCAGATAACTACGTCCATAGGCATTAGTTCTGCTTCAGTCCATACTTTTTTAACTGAGACCTTGGAGATGATCAAGTTGTCTGCAAGATAGGTTTCATGAATGCTGATACCAGAGCAGTAGCTGAAAAGGGTTGACATTTCTAGGATGCTTCTGGCACACTTCCAGGCTGACCCTGAGAATTTCCACCACAGATTACAAACTCAAAATGAAAACAGTGTTCACCACTTCAAACCGGAATCAAAGATTCAAAGCAAACAGTGGAAGCACTTCTGGTGCTCGGCTCCAAAGAAGTTCAAGCAGGCAGCATCTCTTGGCAAGGTGATGGCTTCTATTTTTTTGAATTCTGAAGAATTAAGACAAATGAAGAAAGCAATAAAGTCGAAATGCAGAGGGAGGAGGCTGAGGACTGGTGTGCTCTTGTTCCTGGATAATGCACCCATTCACACTACTCAGGTTGCAGTAGCTGTGGCTTTGAATTGCTACCCCATTCCTCTTACTCACCAGATTTAGTTCCTTCTGACTTTTTTCTGTTTTCTAAACTCAAATCCCAACTGTGTGGTCAACAATTTGGAAACGAGATCATATGTACTGTGGAGGAGTTTTTGGAGGACCAGAATGCCACTTTTTTCCATGATGGGATTTCAATGCTTAAGCATCCTTGAACCAAGTGCATTGATTTCAAGGGGGACTATATTGAAAAATAGTGAAAAACTGTCTTATTTCTCCAAATCCTTCTGGATGAGGCTGATAACTTTTTGAACAACTCTTGTATGCTTTCTTTTTCTCCCTAAAACCAAACAGATGCTCCGATTTATCTCATTTCCATCTTTCCTCACAATCATTATTTAAGTGAGGTAATTGCAGGACATAAAGTACATACTAACTTATTAACAGAAGAACAAGCAGAATTTTTTTATGTTATAAAATGTCATCTGATGTCTACAATAGACATTTTTTTTTTTTTTAGAAATACCCAGATTCTTTATAATATGAAACTGGGTATCTAAATTAACCTCAGGCAACTTTACTCACTTTAGGTCATTTAAATTGCTAAATGGTCAAGTGAACCTAACATTTTTCATTTTAGGTGTTTCTATACAGTAATTTAGCACAATAATCAGCAATATGTAGCAAGAATTACAGCTACTGTCTCAAAACAATTGAGATCAGGGTTATTGTTACAGTGAGGTGAAAAATTATCTTTATGGTACAAACAATTACATTAAAAATAATGATACATTTTTCAAACAATGAAATATATTTTTATACATAAAAATTAAAATATGACCTAAACAAAATATGTAAGAACAAAATTATTTATACACTTCAGTTAATAGTTAATTGCATAGACTTTCTTGTCAATAACTTTAAACATTTTCTATACTTAATTTCTTTTGGCATATTGTTTAATTCTTTGAAAACTTTACTACATTTAAAGGTTGTCTTGAATAAACACAAATTTATCACCACAATTTTTTATTGGATTCAAGTCTGAACTCATTATAATCCAAGGTAAGATGTTGATTTTGTTGTCTAAGTAAATTTTTCACCATTGTGCATCTTCCAAAAACATACTTGGCAGAATCTTTCATATTTCCCTTTAAAATATCATGGTGCTCATTTTTTATGGTTCCAACAATTTTAAACAAACAGCACATTATACTTCCACTATATAATACTACCACCCCCATGTTTTACACTTGGGATGGTGCTCTTAGGGTTCATGGCTTCTCTTCCTTCACACAGCTTACTGTACAGCAGATCTCATTTTGTCCATTGTTTGAGGAATCAGAAACAATACCTGTCAGCACAACTTTACAGCTCTTTTTGCCTTCACAGACAATCATTCTTATAGCCATTTTATGAAAAAGTGACAATTGTTTTTGGCTCACAATATTTATGCGTGATATAATGTACAGTCAACTTGAATACTAAATACTATTTAGCTAAGGTACTAAAATTAATTCCTTCACATTTTTTTAAAATCTACACGCAACACTTTCACCTTTGCCATATTGTTGTTGTTGATACCTGAACTTGAAGTGAAAAAAGTGCATGTTCATTATGGTAAACTTAAATTCTTTTAAAAAATTATAACTCAGTGACAGCATGATAGATTAACTCATTATAACAGGATATAAATATATATTTTATGAACTTTATAAATAATTAAAATAAATTTTTCTAACATGAGGATAATTTTGTCCTTGCCAATTTTTTAATGTTTGATTATAGTAATTGGACTGAAATGTTTCTGAAACAGACTATTAATATACTATGCCAAAAATCATATCCTATATATATTTGTTCAGTATTTTAAAACTGAATTTGATTATTTTAAATTGATTGTACTGTATAGATATCTCATGAGCAGCTAAGATGGTCTTGAGTCCTTCATTTTGATGTGTAGAATGCTGTAATTATGGAAAAAAAGATTTGAATAACTTTAATAAAAGCCTAATTTTTATGGTTAGAAAATCAAAACATGTCCAAAATAATATAGCATATAAGGTTGTCCCATTCAGATGTGGTGAGTCCTAAACTGCTGACAAGGCATGATGTGACTAAGACATAGTGATGCAAAAACAGTAATAGAGGCTTTCCTAGCAATTATGAACTAAAAGAAATGCAATTGTGGCACAAATTAGAGATAACATTAATCATGATGAAGGAAAGACTGCATTACATTGACCTTAGTTGCATATGAAGCTGTATAACCAGAGGTCAGTCAGAGTACCCATGCTAACTAGTATCCATCAGCAAATGTCTATTCAGTGGACACGCATGTGTTGGAACTAAACCTTGTATCAATGGAACAAGGTAATGTAATTCAATGTACTTGCTTTTTTCTTGAATAAGGTGGACTGCAGAGTACATGTGCATTGATATCCTGAGGAGGAGGTAATGGTACTATACTATGGGAAAGTAAATGTCAACAATGTCAATGTGATGGTTTGCTTAACATTCTGCTGTAAAACAATGGGTCATGTCACAAGATTCCAGTGGAAACCTTTAAAGCTAGATTTCATACCTGATCTGGTAAGAGTTGCATTGTGGAGGTATGGGAATGTACAACACCTTATTAGACTGATGGTTATAATGTTTTGACTCTTCAGTGTACAACCAGGACTGATATAAATATACAATTCTTTTATATGTGCTGTTGCTATTTGTGTAACTTTTAAAATCAATAATAGATGAGGAGACAATATCTGCAAATAAAGACTTAATTACATCAATATTTTTAAGATGGAAACAATGTATATGCATTGTGTCAGTAATCATATTTAATAATTAATATGGAGTGTGATTTTGTGCTTATGCATTTTAAATAGTAATAAAAACATAATTTGTTAATTTGCTTTATTCTAGAAATTTAATTCTTGCAAAACTCTCCACTACAGTGTCTTCAAAAATGTCCATGCAAAACTTTGAATAACAATTTTATAAAGTTAAAGCTAGGTCACAAAATAGATTATAATCCTCAAAAACACTCCCAGGTTTTAATGAGGGCACTTGAAAATGCATTATATGTATGCATATGTGATTATCTGTCAAAATTATGACAAAACCCATATTTCTTTCAGGCACATAATTTAGAATTCTACTTCATGATCACAAGTCCCATAACCAGTTTAAGCTGATTTTGAACTCAGAGTCAGTTTTTTCTCCTATAGTTATTGCCAACCAAACTTAGAGAATGAAGTCTGCTCTGCTATTTAACCCATATCTAGAGGATAAAGAAATTGATGCACAATCTTTCTGAAGGGCAAAAGTGAATGTTACAACCTTGGGCAGAACTTGAACTCCAGATACTGATTGCACTTTCCACATTGATATCTACGACATTATGTGCACTTAATTCACTTAAAGTTTCACTTTATTAAATTCAGAATCAAAACAGACATGCAATTTCTATTTAGTAATCATCATCAATTACTTTACAAAAATAGAAATGTACCTCATAGCAAGGTTACTTGTTGTAGTCTTGGTCAATTCGGCAGTAGTTGATACTTCAGGCTCTGAAAGTTCACAAGAATGAACTTCAGGCATGCGACATATCTCGGCAACATCAATACTTGAAGTTTGTGCAGGTGTACCACATTCACTGCAATAATTGGAAACATTTTTATAAGAAAAACAAACAGAGTATAATAACTGCCTAGATAAAAATAATTATGGTTTTAATTCAGTAAAACAAAGGAATATGAGAAATTTAAGCTTTAGATATATAAAATCTTTACTAAAATTAAATTGGAAAAAGAGAAAATGAGTTATATTCATTTGGATTTATTTTAAAAATAAACATATGAAACAATTGACAAAATCTGAGGAATTGTGGTAATGCAGTATTTGCATTCTTGTTATAAAACCTACAGATATTTCAAATCCTTTCTGAATACTCTCCAAATATAGCCTTCTACTACACTTAGCAAAGATCAAATAAATAAAAATCATTTAAAGACAGAAAATTTCCAAAAAAAAAAAAAAAAAAAAAAAAAAAAAAAAAAGAAATACTGTCTTTATGAGAAAAAAAATTTGAGCTTTTACAATATTACAAGAATATTTATCATAGATGGGAAGTTGGGTGAGCAAAAACACTCACTGATTCATTCAAAAAACCATTAAACAAGAAATTTTGATTCATTTTAATTGTAAAGTTTTTATACAAAAACAAATTTAAAGATAAATTTTAAGCATTAGTAATTTAAGAAAAAAAAATCAGTGATAGGTTACCAAAATATACAAGTAATACCTCAAAAAGACATTAAATCAACTGGAATTAAAACATGTATGAAAGCTGAAAAGGCATAACAACTGGAGGTATGCTTCTTGTAACAGTAAGAATAGCCTTAACACTGAATACACGTGATATAAAAACAAAACTGGATGAATACAAAGGTACAATATAGAACACTTTTGTATGCAAAGGTCAAAAATGCAACAGAAGCTGTGAACTTGTTTCAGTGTAGTTCATTCTCAGAAGGATGTATATATATCTGCAGGATGAATCATATATAGGGTATTAATATTCATCATTTTGTGCATTGAAGTTCTTATTCAAGGTGTCAGACAGTACAGAATTCATGATATGGCTGTGGAACTTGATCTTCCAAAGTTGGAGGTTCATGAAATCCTTCACAAGAAAGTTCGATATTGTAAAATGTCATCTTGTTAGATGAGACATTCTGATAACCCAGTTTCCCAAATTTGAAAACCATAAGTTCCAGTGCACAGGCATTTCTTTCCAGCATTTGCAACAATATCAAAGGGCTGATGGGAAGTTTCTGAAGCACATGATAATAGGTTATGATATAGAGGTGCATCACATTACCTTATTCCATAACCTGGAAGCAACCATTATCACTAACCCCTCAAAAATCCAGGGTTTAGCAGTCAGCGAAGAAATTGATAGCAACTGTACTGTGAGACGCAAAAGGTGTGTAAGTTCTGTGAAAATTTTGTTAGATTGTCTGTGAACAGGACCAGGATGTTTGCATAGGGGTACTATCCTGCTGCAGTTCAGCACCCTCCCCACATATGGCAAACTGGACAGAAGTGGCCTCAGCAATAAGGTTGGGATATTTTTACTGTATCCACCACTTAGCCATCCTAATTATCACATATTTGGGCCCATCAAATGATATTTATCCAGTAAGCAGTTCTATGCTGATGTTGCAAAGGTGTAAGAGTGGCTTCAGTCATTTGAAGCCACTTTCTTTGAGGAAGGTATTTATAAATTCATACACTGATGGGGCAAGTTACAAATGACAACTGTGTGGTAAAGTACTGTCAGTAATATATGTACAATGGTTTATTTGTATAGTAATAAACATGTTGGTTTAATAAATGTTTGTATCTTACTTTTGAAATATTCCTCATACTAAGTTGACGCAGCAGCTATTTAATTCATTAAAAATTAACCAATTCGATTTGAAATGTTGCCATTTATCAAATAGAAAGATGCATGCACAAAACCTCAAATACACATAAACACAACCCATTATGTTAACATACTCAGCCATTTTATTTGGAAAAAAATCTTCAAAGATATTTATAGAGAAAACTGTACATTTATTCTAGACAGAGGAACAAATATCTAAAATAAATGTATTATGTCACAGAAATGTTATTGATAACATGCATTCCTTGACAGGAAACTGTATCATTTTATTATCTCTAGAATATAAATACATAAACCTAAAAATAAATGAATATATAAATAAATCAAAATAAAGCTCTTAAAACTGTTTTGAAGTTATATTCAAATTTCAATAATAATTTAAAGTAAATCATTCAGATGCTTAATAAAAATCACATTTTGTCTCACTAAATTGTTGAAATAAATATTTTTCTGATAACACTGATACATCAGTGAAATGTGTAAAAATAAAAGATTTCAAAATTGTTTTATATAATTAACATATTAAAAAAACCACTGTTCATAATCATTCAAAAAGTTCACAAGTGTGTGTGTGAGTGAGTGAGTGAGTCGTTTTAGATTGACGTGAAGTAGTGGCAAACTGAGCTCACCAATCTCTGTTAAGCTTATGAGTAGTGGTTGTGTCAGGTTGCACTGCACATAACATGGTGGATTGATTACAATCAAGATCACCTCAAAGTCCTTTAGCACTCATTCTATCCCATCTCTATTGACACAGCAGAAAGTTCACTATATCAACAGGATGTATATGACTGCAGGAGCAAACAGTAGGTGCTGGTTATGGAAAGCATGGTTATTAAGTGAAGCCATCAGATGAGTGATAATAATCTTTTATATTTGTTCAAGAAGAATAATTTAAACTTAGATTATTTTTCTTCGTGTGCCGAGTCCTTGAATAATTGTACCAGTCTTTAACAAAGATAACCTTTTTCTTTTTTAGAAATCACAAGTTACTGACAAAGCTTTCTGTTGATTATGCAAGAATATTCTGGAGATTTGACCAGATGAATTAAAAAGAGTATATGAAAATTAAAAGACAAATTAAAAGAGTATATGAAAATTAAATTGGGGTGGTTCAAGTAACTAACTTAGGCTTGTATGTATTAGATTTAACAGAATCCATTACAAATTATTAAGACAATAAAAGAGGAAGAAAAGGCGTAATTTTTAGGAGGAAACGGGAAAATCAGAAGGATTCACAAGCTATTTAGAGGGACTTAAAATGAAATTAAACTGAATCTGATTAAAATATGGTAGAATGGAGGAAAATGAGGTTAAATATTAGAAGGAATAAGGAAGAAAGAAAAATTGTGAGACAAACTAATTTTATAAGAACCTTCATTAAAAATTAACATAATCCATATAAAATTTATAAGTTTAAAATAAAAAAATAAAAATGGACCAATTTACCATTAAAGTCAAATTTTGAGATAATTTTTCCTTGACATCCCATTTAGTGTAGAATATATATATATATATATATATATATATATATATATATATATATTATATATATATATTTTAAAGGTATGCTATATTTATGGGATAAAGTGCTCAATATCAGAGAAAAGACCATATGTAAATATAAAAGCGAACATTGAAAATCAACACTCACAGGCCGTTTCATGCTAAATATAATTGTCAGGCCACCACACACAAACATTATATATATATATATATATATATATATATATATATGTATGTTTGTGTATATATCGTGTGTCTATGTGTATGTAGAGTGTATTCACATTTAACTGTGTGTGTATAAGTGTTAGTTTCCACGTCTCCTTTTTTCAGAAGGGCTGTGGAGTTGTTCATGTATTCCCCCACCTCTTTCTTTTTTTTTTTTTTTTGTGTGTATATTTGTATGTGTGTGTGTGTGTGTGTGTGTGTGTGTATGTATGTATCTAATTATGTCTGGATGCGTATGTATTATAATCTGATTGTGTTTTTGTTGTGTCACGCGTGAGTTTAAGACCATATTCACAAACTTTAAAATAAAAACGGAAAAGAAAAAAATATATACATGTATTATCAGATGACCGGACGAATTGTAGCTTTTTGTCTTGTCAGACGTAATTTTAATGAAGAAATGAATTGAATAAACATATATATTTTTTTCTTTTCTCAATAATTTTGTAGTTTTTAAACTTAATAGTGATTAAACTTGGATTTTAAAATTGCCAGTTTTTAATTTTAATATTAAATTTTATCATATAATTTTATAATTATTGGTTAGTATAAATTATTTTTAATATTACACATATTTAAAGATCTGAATAGATATTATAACATGATTTCGTTGTCAAGCTTTTGAATCTTTCTATACTTCGTTTTTTGATTGGTTATTCTAGCTTTTGTAACAATGTTTCCCCCTAGTGTAGGATCGTTAATTAATCTGAAACTTTTAAAACCATTTATTTTCTTTTCAACATCATCACTTGATAAGACACAGAGTGTGTTGAAACAAAATGGCTATTTTTGTAGTGATTTTATAACATACTTATGTTATAATTTTTTTTTTTTTAAAAATAATTAAAAATATATATATATATATATATATATATATATATATATATATATATATATATATACATATTTTATTTTTAACAGTTGATACTCACTTAATTTTCATTTCTTTTCAGATTGAACCCATTAGAAATAATGATGGCATCCAGGCTAAACTTTGAACAAAGGAAATTTATTCCAAAATGATACTGGAAGTTTGAAAATGCAGTTGAAGTATAAAGATAGTCTATGAGGGAGTTTTAAACAGATCCACTTACATGACCTTTCATTATTGAGATAAATTTAAAGCAGATGGAACAGTTTAGAATGTCCATAATAACATTCTAGAAGCCTGGAAACATTTCACCAGAGTGCAAGAAAATCTGTGTGGCGAGTAATGATATAGGAATTTCAAAGTCAATCATCCATATATATGATATGCTCTCATTGAAGATGATCCAAACTAAAAAGTGAGGTTTTGCAAATAGTATTTGGCAAGATGTGTAGAAGATCCAAAATTTCTAACAAAGATTGTTTGGAATGATGAAGCTGCATTTAAATTAAATGGCTCAATTAACCATCATACTGCAACTATTAAAGACCTGAAGATCTGCATATCATGTTAATTTACCAGGCATAGCTTATCAACAAAGGGTCCAGTTTTCTTTCACTTGCTGCAACAACCTATAATGCTATACATTCAAGAGAATTTGAGGACAAGGAGTTTTATTTCTAGCTCAATGGACCCCCCCACACACACACACACAACCATCATAATGTAAGGACCCGCCTTGATGAGATTTTGCCAAACAGATTGGATGAAGTGGTTCAGTTACCCTCTATGTTTACCATATCTCATACCACTGGAGGGTTTTTTATGGGTATATTTAAAAGAAAAAGTTTGATACAAAATCAGCAAAAGTCAACATACTGTAGTCATCTATCAAACGAGTATGCACACTGAACAAAATGTTTCCTGATACTGGCGATTATATAGCTTCATGTTAAAAAGAGTGCCAAGACCAGTTTTGAAAAGAGTTGTTGACAGAAAAAATTAAATCCTGTCTGCAGATTCTATTAAATTTTGATAATGAAACATTTTGATAAACACTTTATAATCATTCATAGTATACCTACATTTTTGAAGGGCACCTTATTTCTAATAGTATTTACTAATAATTTACTTATGATGACAAGAATTTAATCAAAATTCACCCAATAAAAACAATGCTTTACAGTATAAATGCAAGTTTATATTACAAAGTTAAAGATTTGGGTAATTTAAATGTCTATTCATATTCTTAAAAAATTATGAATGGAAAAGCTTATTATTAATAAATAAATATAAATTAAGTTATTATTAAATATGTTATTATATCTGCATTCTAGACTGGAATGTCAACACTTTGAAAGAATTTAGTTGAGTTGATATAAAAGCCAAGAATAAAAATGCTATGAGTAATGAATTTCTTACCTTTCCTTATCCACAGATGTATCAATTGTCTCAGACGTATCCATTCTTTCAAAACTAGTTCTTGCACTTTCTTCAGAATCTGAAAACTGTCCATCTGCATCATCAGTCTCTTCTTCATCATCCATGTCTTTATCATCATCCTCATCTTCCTCATTATCATCATCCAAGATTTTTGTATCTTTTGCTATTGCACTTTGAGCAGCAAGAGCTACAGAATCAATCTGAGACTCATCTACTGTAACAGGAACAGGGACAATGCCTAGTTCTAGACATTTCTTCTGATGTGCTTTGGACTTCATGTGCTTTGTGAGGTTCCCCTTTGTCTTGAAGGATAAACGACAATGTCGACAGTGATAGGGTCGCAGATCTGTGTGTGTTCGGATATGCTTCTTCAACATGCTTGGTTTTTTACAACGAATGCCACACTCTTCACATACATACTTGCCACGGCCCCGTCCACGAATATATATGTAATCCTCATTGGAACGAAATCCACCTTGGAAGATGCGTACACGTTTGGGCTGTTTAGTAGATTGAACATCTTTTACACTCAGACTATACGGTGTAGGCTCCATTGACCCACCAGAGGCATGTGAAATGTCTTTGTCTTCAGATGGCAACTTCATTTCTAATGTCAATTTAGAAGATTCAGATTTTGTGTTGAAAATATTGAAGATGCCATTTGATAGCTTCTCAATAGCATACGAGGAGGAAAGCCAAGCCTTTTGCTTGTTATATAGACTCCACTTACAACTGTCAACTGCATTCACTTCACATGATTTGGCAGAAGACACAACAAAAATTGGATCACTGAACTCTTTTGAATTGTATAGAGAAATTAACATCTGAGCTGTCAAGCTACCAGGATCTTGATTGGGTTGAGAAATTTTCCAATTGGAGTACATTGAAATGTTGTGGTTATCTCCTTGGGCAACATACATTGGCTGGACCTGTTGAACACAGCACAGTGTTGTATGAGTGAGTCCTTGAAGAGAATTGACTGAATGACCATATAAATGCTGCTGAATTAAGTCCATTTCAGTAGTTGTTTTTGCTAAAGCTCCAGAGTTAACACTTTGGGAAGAACTATGTGATCCATGGACAACAGGCAATGATCGAGATGAAATACCAACATCATCTTGTAACTGAAGTGTCTTAGCAGATGAAAAACCTTCAGTGTTAGTAGATAAAAATTCTTCCATGTCTTTTGATATTGGTTCCAACTCTTCCAGTGACTCCTGAGAACACAATTTAGGCTCTTTCTGTAGCAAAAATGAAACCAATCCAGAAATAGCAGGTAGTTGAGGAGTCTCTTTACATTGCCTCAATACTGAACTTGCAGGAATGGCTGGCAATGTAAAATTGTGTGCTGGTAAAGGAACCAAAGCTCTTCTGACAGCTGAACTCTGAATAGAGTCAAAAAACTTCATTGTCGTTCCCATTGGCTCTGCTATGACAACTGGGACAGTCACAGGTGCTGAGATGACAGGGGTCAATGTACTTGGCAAAGTATTCACCACTTTATATTCTAAAGTTTCAGGCAAACTGCTCAAGCGTTTTTCAGCAAACAACTTCATGGAAGAACTACCAGACCAGCTCTGACCCATGTGTGACAGGAGGGGTTCAGAACCTGCTCGTGTCACTCCTGGACGTATCACTGTATCAGAAGGTTCACTAGTTCGGACTTTTCGCTTTTTCAAAGGAGAATTCCTTTCATTTCTATCACTGTCAGTTGTCTGCTTCATAACATCGAGAGATGATGTCCACAAGAGTGCAAGATTTGCAGAACTATCTTTTACTGAAGTTGTACTTCCTGTGCTTGAGATAGTAGAAACAGTTTCCAATTCTCGTTCTTGGGATTGCATCCTTTCTGTACTCATTGAGCGCTTCATTAAAATTTTTCCTTTAAGCTTTAGCTTTGTTGGTGTGCTAGGAGTGGACACAGGATTAGATATCATAGGGCTAGGTTGAGTCCATGAACTTTGCACTGAAACCATTGGCTGACCAATCATTGATGAAGAAACTGTAGCCGTAGTAGAGGCCAATGTACTTTGAGGAACTAGAGAAGATTTTTTCTTAAGAGTAGCTAATAATATTGAAGTCTGCTGGGTTGTAAGAGTTGATGTGTTTATTGAAGCTGAAGGCTGATATTGTTGAAATTGTAAAGAAGCAGAATTTGGAGGAATTTTTGGTTTATTTTTTGAACCCTTTGGTCTGCCTTTCTTTTTTGGTAAGGTCAGATCATGATTTTCAAGCAATGATGCTGTAGGGTCCATTTTCTCATCCTTAGACCTTTCCCCTTTTTCAGTGTCCACATCATTGGAACTTTCACGATCACTGGACAGACTCTGGGACAAGCTTCCTGATAATGAATCCTTTTCTGTAGAGCCACATTTGTCAAGTTTTGGTTTGTCAGTTCGTTCATACAGAACCTCTGGCTCAAATGATGCTGGTGGGTCAGTGTTTGTTGCAGCTGGTCCACTACAACAAAGGTGCATTTTATGCAATTGTGAAGACTTACTGCCAATCAAAAATTCCACACTAGAAGTAGTTCCTGCTTCCCTATGAAAAAGGGGAGAAATTGTAGAGGTTTCGTTTTTAATCTTTGAAATATCATCAACACTGCTTGATTTTTCTTTTATAGTTTTCACATTTGATGGAGAATTAAGTGGGGTAGATATAGCTTTACCTTTCATTAAGAGACCCTTAATAACACTATTCTCTGGATTTTTATTTACTGAAGTTATGGCAGGAGCTGCAGGCATATATTGAATACTGGACTGCCCTACCATTGTTTGGGCTACAGTTGCTGTTGTAGCAACCACTTTGGACAATTTTATTTCAATTTTGATTTCATGACTGTTTGAGTGTCCACTATTGCTGATTTTCTCACCCAACTGATCTACTTTTGAGGATGAAGGTGCTAAGTTAGAAATTTGTGATTTGGTTAAGTTTACCACATTCTGTGGATTGTATTTATCACTGACTAAGAATGGTTTAGGACTGTTGCTAGAATCCTTTTGTAGGTCTGTCTCTCCTGGAATTGGAGTAAGTGGGATTGATGCTATGCTAGGAATTGAAACTTTGGACATTGAAGAAGACTGGGGCAAATCATCAAGTTTTGGTGTATGAGATGTTGGTGGGTCACTAAACTGGCGACAAATTCGTTTCTGTCGTGGTGGCTCCTTCATTGGAGTGTTGACTATAGAGGCATTCTCTGAAATCAGTTGTGAGATACGCTTTTCTACCATTTCTTTGGTTGAGGGTGTTGATACTCCTGATAGAATTAAAGAACTTACAGGTTTTGTTTCTTCACCTTCTTTGACAGACTGTTGATCTTGAGGCGGATTTGTAGCAGTAGACTGTAATTTGTTTGGCAAAGTCAGTCCAGAAACTGATAAAGGTACATTATCTTTGGACCAAGCTGTGCCTAGTTTCACATCTAAGGTTTCCATTTTAGTACTTATGGGGTTATCTTTAATAAGACTATTCTTAGCAGTCATTGTCTCACTGGTAGAAAGTGAAGGTTCATCCCAGGTCCCTTCAAATGATGATGATTTACTTTCACAAAGCTTTGTTACATAAAATTTTTTCTCAGTCAAATAAAGAGGAGTATACGGGGTTGCTGAGTGTTGCAAATAACCTATTTCAGTACGCTGACTTTTACTCATCTCTCCAGACATACGACACTGGACACTGTCTGAACTTTGCCTTGTATTAAAACCGGCACTGGCACCACTCGACCCACTTCCTCCAGCAGTGGCTACTGTAGTTACAGATAGACTGCAATCACCCAATAGTAAACCGTCTTTAAATTCTTCAAGATGCAACCGGGTATCGGGCTCTGAATTACCTCGCATTAAATGCGTATGTGATTCTGTCACTGATAACATATCCTTCCTTACTTTTTGTGGATCGTCTTCATTTTCACCATCTGTATCACTGGTCTCTGTCTGAGTTTCTTCACTTTCATTAGTGTCTTTTGCATCAACATCCCCCTCGGTACCAGCCGTCTCTGAGGACGTACTACTTGCACTCTGACTAAGACCAGCTTTAAGGGCATGTGTTCGTGATTTTGTGTGCTTAGATAAGTTGCTTTTTGTTTTGAAAGACAGGCCACAGTTAGCACAGGGAAAGGGCCTCTCATTGGTGTGTGCACGAATGTGTTTTTCTAATACACTTGGCTTGGCACAACCACGGCCACAATACTGGCAAATATGACGCCCTTGTTTTAGTGGATGCTTGCGTTTACGGCCAACTGTAGAATCTCCTGTCATGGACTGTTGTTGCTGGAGAGATTTTTCTGTAGATTGGTGTTGGGAATGAGGTTTGTATGCAACGTAGCTCATGGGACGGGCCTCCTGACTGTCAACAGTTGGCTTTGTATAAACCAACTTAAGACCTGAGAAGAAAAAAAGTAAAAGTATAACATATTTGATTAGTTTTTATCAACTAAATAATGACATAAAAAGTAAAGGTATGTACAGTATATATGTAAAAGATAAGAGATTTTTTATTTGCAATAGAGTATCAAGTATATTTGCTATCTTTGGCCATTGTGAATATATTTGTGCATATATCTAAGAAAGTTAACAGAGGAATTATTTCTTACCAAGATGAATGGAAAAAAGATTAATAAAAAATAATAATAATAATATTTCAAATAAGCATTACATGTATAAAAAAGGAAGCATTTATTTTAAGAAAATCTATATATTATATCTCGAAATGACCTACAATCATCTGCTAACTGGGGCAAGGAATGACTTGTTAATTTTAATGTCTCCAAAATGAAACTTCATTTTATTAATCATCGGAGACGCTTCTTTTTGCCTTCTTTAATGGTAATAGTTCTGATGAACTTTCTGCTGTGGTACTTAGACTTTATGAATTGAAGGGCAGTACTGGATTGGCAACAAGGTCTTGTCAATTTACAGTTGAACTGTAAATTTACAACTGTAAATTCTATGCTAACAGTTTCTTCTATCGCACTTTTTGCTTGTGGTACTCTCTTCCGGCTACATGCTTTCCAGCCAGCTTTGATCTTCAAAAATTTAAATGCAATGTCAATCATTATCTTCTGTTTCTTGATTACTCTTCTTTCATTGATCTCACTCCTTAATATTTTCATTTTTTTTTTTTTTTTCACACTCAATAAGCCCTTGAATCTTAGTGGGTGAAATGATTAAAAAACAAAAAAAAACTGGGCTATGTGGTGCAGAATTTTAAACGCCAATACCCATTAATTTAATAATTCTTTTTTTCTGGATATAATAAAACGACATTACTTTCTATGATTTCCATATTAATTTTAACAATCATCTTTGTCTACTATTTTAAAATGAAAGTAAAGTCAAGGTTTCATTTCAAGAAATGGAACAATTTCCACTTAAACTGTTTAATCTCATCATTATGTTGCTGTAGAAATAGACTAACCATAATTTGCAAGTCCCAAACTGGGAGTTTTCAAATTTTATTATTGGTTTATGTTCTTGTATATTAAAGTTTTTTTTTTCATAGCACAACATTCCTTAGGTTTCAGAAATCTCACACACACACACACACACACACAAAAATACAATAAAATACTGATAGTTTATATCTCACTGTGTCAAGCTTCTCAAGCAGGGACAATCCCAGCCAAACTGGGACATACTATTGTTTTGAAGACTATGTAGAAAAGGGTGGTAAGTTCCTATATAATAAATATGATAATGAAAAACAAAAGAGCAAAATTGAATTATACTCAAGAAATTCATAGATAAAAATTAAATGAAGGAGAAAGAAGTGACAAAAATGAAAACAAGACAAATTTTACATGAGAACAAAAAAAATAGAAATGAGTTTTTTGCTCACAACCATCTGTAACTCAATTACCTTGCTGTTCGAGAGAATCTGACTTAACATGATATTTCTCAACTCCCTTCTCAGAAACTGGCATCTTTATGATCTCTTGAAAAATGAAATTCTCACTGGGTTGACTGGTGGTAACAGGAGCAAGTACTAGTTGAGTATTGGTCATGGGCTTGCCACCAGATGGCACACCCATGGAGATTGTTTGGCTACTGGGAACTTCACGGGACATATTCTGTAATTCAGAGTCTGTGACTTGGAGCAAGTACTTTAAGTGTAAATTAGTTGTCTCTGCAGGCCTGCCTGTAGAAGACATTTCAATGGCAACTGGAATCTCTTCAGTCTCTTTTGTCGATGAAACAATTGGCTCGGGGGAGGATGCATCAACAGCAGGCATGGACTTGCTACCTTTAAACTGTGCCCGTCTGATATCTGATTTGGGGATAACTGTAAATGACAAACAAAAGCATGAAAAAGATACTTGTCTATAAATTTTGTTGAAATCTTTACAAAAAATATCCAAAAACAAATTAATTTCATAAAATGTTAATGCATCATTATAATTGTTATACATTAATAAAATAAATAATAGGCTAAAATGAAACCCCCCCCCAAAAAAAAAACAGCATTTATTTTACACAAACATTTTTCTTTTACTAAAAAAAATTAACTTTTTTTTTTCAGTGTATTTCATTAAGTAGTGAATATTAATCAGATAGATCAAATATTATACAGTGAAAATTTCAGATCAAAATTCAGTTAACAACAACATCAGGTTATGGACTTATTACTCAACCTTTTAATAATAGTAACCCACCAAATTAGTTTGGTTTATATACCAAGATATCAAAGGCTGTAGAGAGCGCTACACTCTCATTAGGTTCTATACCAATTAAAATAATTTTGAGGAAGAGAACTACTAAATTATAATATAGTTATATATATATATATATATATATATATATATATATATATATAATGTGTGTGTGAATACTGTTCATATTTTATTGCTGGAGGCTTGTATAAATCATTTTTGTCAAATTTCTGTTGCTACTTAATTGATGCAGTGAAACAATTTATAAAGAAAACTGATAAACAATCATTCATGAATATTTTTAGAGTCTGGATGTAAGTGGCCAAATTGAACAAGAAAGAATTAAAAGGAATTGACTGCTTACATAACACAAAGTATTCATGTAAAATAAAATAGATTATGAAAAGATATTGTTTCCAAGAAACTTATCAAGGGAAATGCCCAAATAACTCCACTTAATAGAAAAAGGTAAATACAAAGCTTATTGTACTGTCAAAATTTACAAAGGTGTAATTTTAATATATGGCACAATGTATGTACCAAATTTCCTTTACTATTGTGAACTGTATTGAAGTTCTTATCTTATGGTCCAGTAATAATGAATGATAAACTAGCCTTTCTGGATCTTGAAAGCAAAACATCAGCTTTTACTTATAAGAGGTACAAGGGTGGATGATAATAGTCAGAAAACTGAAATGATTTAAAGGAACATCTAGACAGTATTAAAAACAAAACAGTTCTGTAGCAGAATTTTTCTAGAAAATACATATAACTTATCTGTAAGCTTTAATATACTCTGCATAGTAGAGCTAACCTGAATATGTGTTCAGGACAGATCCATTAATGGGGAAGATGAATCATATCAAGTTCAACTCTCAACAGAAACAAGCTTCTAATTAAATGAAAAAGTAATCAAGAACTATGTGTAGAGTATTCCATGCATTTGTGGCAAGACCAGTAATCTTGTAAAAGTAAAGCTTCAAGAACATCAAAAAGCCATCACCTAGTGAGAGACTCTGAAATTGGGTATGGCTGATCATTTGTAGAGGTGAAGAGATCACCAGACCATGTGGAATTATGCTAAAATTACAAAAATATGCTAACAAAAAAAAAAAAAGAAAATGAAAAATGGCAACTGAAATAATGCTATTTTCTAATAACATTCTCACAAGGATTAGCAGCATAGAATTGAACAACATAAAAGTGTTGGATTCAGAAACAACATTATAAAGATTAATTAGCTAAGAAAAATTAACTGAGGCAAGACATCCTCTTACATGAACAGTAGATGAGAAGACTGAATAAAGGATCAGTATATTGAGTTAGGGGTGAACTGGCTTTTAAGTTGGGGAAGTGGGTAAGAATGTGAATTCTCATGAGGGGAAAGGGTAAATGATTTTTTGGAGAAATCTGTAATTACCATAAAAAATTTTCTATAATATTATATTAATGCTATATTAATTTCTTATAAAATTATTATAAAAATTACTTGTTGACACATCAGTACTGGCTGCCTTTTGATTTCCACGTGGTGATTTTGGCATTTTGAGGATAGGTGCTTCTTTCCGATTGGAAGTTGTTGAACTCCCTGCGCTGTCAGTGGAGTCTGAAAAGAGAAGTAAAGGTAACATACACACAATGTGAGTGATATTTTGGAAAATAAATTTTTTTTAAAAGAAATTTCTCTCGTAGATGCCATAAATATATTAAGAATGTTTGATCCTAAGCTAAAAAGAGAGAAAGAAATAAGAGAAGTTAATATTAGATAACAGATTCATTCCTTTTTCATTAATAAACAAAATATATTTTTTGATAATTATGGAGTTTCTCCAATTTCTATTTGATAAACACTCAAAGACAATAGTGTGTTCATTTCATACCCTATTGGTCATGACAGCTTCAAAGACAGTTCAATAGCCTCAGAATCACTAACTCCTTCACAACTCAATTGTTTTTATAGGCTCATTGCAAGTTTCATTTTCAAAAAAAAAACTTTATTCCCAAATGCCTCTTAGAACACATATCTCTTAGCCAATTACTGAATTTCTACTTTGAAAATCCTTTTTTCAAGAGAAAAGATTTCATTGAAATCAACACAATTTCAGTAGATTGGGAGTATAAGAAAACCTTTAGCCAGGGAATTTTTCTCCTGATCACCTGTCAAAGCCCGTAATTGTTCTGAGCAGTGGGTAGATACAAGGATTTATCAGTTATACTCAATTTCCTGAAAATATTGAATTCATTTTATCAAAAGTTCTTATCTGTTGAAGTTTATATTACAAGAATAATGAAAGACTTTTTCAATCTTCTTGGCTCTGTGTCATCAAACCAGGTCCAATGATATTTAATCAACTGCCATCAAGCCTCTCTGGGGATCTACTTTACCCCCACCCCATGAGTGTTAATGCTGCCCATCTTGTTAAAATTATTCTATTATATTTTCTTCTTTCGATGCTTTCCTTCACCACAATCTGTTACATAAACATTTAGTTTTATTAACTGTACCTTAATGCTTATTATCATAAATTAAGTAATTTCATTACCTCATTGTTTTTATTTTATTTTCCAATATGTATGGAATCAGTCAAGTAAGAGTAAATGACATAGCAATCTAAATAAAATCATTTAATAATACAATCTATTTTGTGCAACATACAAACATGTTTTCATGATTATAATGAGTCAATTACAACAGAAAAACATTTTCCCACCTACACAAAATAAAAATCTCCTAATTTATCTTTCAACAGCAGTAGACCTAGCAACTGATTCAATATAATCACTCCACTTCATGTCAGTGAAAAACGTGAGCACAAGAAGGCACAAAGTGTTGCTCTCCTGGAGGTTAGTATCTGTCATACTGATAGAAGGCATAAGAGGTTCTTTATGGTGATTAGCAGTTTTGTTTAGGAGATGTTAAAATTTACAAACCATTGCTTGTTCCAGTTAAACATTGACTGGAGGTCATTTTCAAGAGCAGCTGACAGTTTTACTTTGTCAGATTGCTACTAAGACAGGAGTAAATAGCCGTCTCTCTGCATAGGTACCTAGTTGGGAACTGATGCAATCAGGAAGTTTGTTGATGAAGATCAGAATCAGTATTTGTCTATGGATAAAAAGCTCTGCATTAATATGAAATGAACTAGAAAACCTTCTCATTACATGATTTCTTAGGAATGAATCAATTAGGCCAAATATTTGCCCAGAGACACCATAGCCCTCAAGCTTGTGGAGAAGGCCAGCATGCTAAACCCTGTTGAATGTCTTTGAGATATCTGAAGACATTGCCTTCCAGTATGTGATTGATTAGGGCAACTGCGGCATTCTTAAAGTGACGAGCCACTGCAGTAAAGGAATGTTGGGACGACAAAACTTCTGATGCCCCACACCCTGAAACGCATGATCCACAAGATGGTGATGAAAGTGCATCAAGAAAACCCCGCAAGAGGAGGCTGGTGTGTGAGCAACCAGGAAATGACAGTGTGGGTGGATGCAAGTGAATGGAGACATTGTGGAGAATGCATGCTGGCTTTGTCACAACAGTGATGCTCAACACATTAACTTATCTGAGCTCGATGCAATGTTAAAAGGCATAAATTTGTCCCTTCAGTGGAATGCAAAAGTGTTGTATCTGGTCACTGATTCTGCATGTACGTACCACTGGATCAACAACCCCTTAACCAGAAAGACATGCCTGAAAATGAAGACAGTGTTTGAGATGCTCATGCAGAGATGACTGGGTACCCTTTGGGCACTAATTGCAGAGTATGGCCTCAACTTGGATGTAAGGCTGGCAAAACCCACCCAAAATAACGCTGACGAATTTACCAGATTTTTACAGAGGTGGTTAGATTTGTTGAAAGACACCAAACCGCACCTCTCAGCATGTGGTGCAGCCATAGGAGAGTTGGGGCCATGCAAAATAATAAAAATACAGCATAGTAGTCACCCTGGTATTAGGCACACTGCCTACTTTGTCAGGGAAGTTGATCCCTCCATACATAGCAAAATTGTCAAGATGGTGATTCAGAAATGTCCTGAACGCCAGTCCATAGATCTGGCACCGGTGCACTAGCTGAATGGAAGACTAGGGGTTTGCAGTATGTGGTCCAGTCTGTGGATGGATATTACACATTATGGCCACAGTCATTATCTAACCTTGATTGACTGTGGACCAACATGGTTCTCTGTTTGGCAACACCTAGCGCAACAAGATTCTGAGAGTGTTATTCGGCAGTTGGAGTCGATATTTTGTGAGAGAGGTCTGTCATACAAAATCCTTACCAACAACAATACGCTGTTCACCAGCAGGTTATTCAAGGCTTTAATGGAGGAATGGGGTGTCCAGCTGCATTTTGGGTGTGCACATGTGCCATCCAGAAACAGGATAACAGTTTAAAGATGCCATAGGACCATAAAACAGATTGTGACACAGAAGCAGTGGCCCATACAAGAAGCTGTTTACTGGTATAATGCAACGCCAAAGGATGACATGTCGAACCCAACAGCATCAGTTAATGCAATTCATACTTATGAGGTTAAGCTCAAGGGCACTGACACTGTACCTGCATTAACACCATGGACAGTTCACAAAACATATAAAGTTGGAGATGTGGTGTGGGTGAGACCAACCTAGAACCGATGTACCTCCAAATTTACAACCAGGAAGGTTACTGGAATTATTAGTCCAGATTGATGGCATGCCGAGTCATGTTAAAGTAGAGGTGGGACATACAGAGCAAATTTTGGGGTGTACCCTCAGATTTCAGTTGCTCTGTAATTTTTTCCTTCCTTGTATCCTAAATTGACTGAAACATTGCTTTAAAATGATAAAAATCAATTTTCAATCAGTAGCCAGCTGAAAAACTGAATTTATCCATACAACTGCCAGATATTGCAGAGACTTCTTCATCGCATATGAACTAACCCAGATCATTGAAGACCCTACCTGAGTCCTGGATGTGATGGGACAACAGGTGAATCTCCTTGACCTTTTTCTGGGATGGAGTGTTTTACACCACCCCAAAAAAAGCCGCAAAAACCAAACAGTCAGCCCTGGTTCACTCCTGAATGCACACCAGAACCACTACTTCGAAATCTATCACAAGGAGGAGTGTAGTCTGGCTCTTACTTCTTTCAAAAGAAAGTCCTGGAAAATACAAAGTGCAGCTATGTGTGATCTGTCCAGGCCAAGATTGAAAAATAAACAAATTGGATCTTGCGAATTCTGGAAGATCACCAACCAAATTATGAACAGAGGCAAAGCGGCTGTGCCCACTATTATAAATGACCCCAACAGATAAGGGGAAGCTCTTTGCCTCAAATAGAGATGTTTTTTTTAACTGAAAAACCAACTTTTTTTGGTTTCATCTTCACACCATGAAACTGCATCGAAAATTTTTTCAAAACCGAATGATTTCGGTTTTATATCACAACTGAGTGACCGTATCCAAAGAAACACTATTGAAAAAGACTTTCAGATGTTAATAAAATTAAATTTTATTAATATTTATACCATTGTAAGAGAAAAAGATTGAACAAAAATATGTTAAAAACATTTAATTGACTAGTTTTAAGAGATAAATGTGAAATTTATTTGTTTACAAAAGAAATGAAGAAGAAAAAAAAAAGGAAATACATGATGTCTGATTTTTTGTAGTAAGGGTAATTGTTTTAGTAAGCCAGTGTTATGCCAATCACGAAATAAAATTGTTGTAAATGAGAAAAATGAATTTTTTTTTTTATAAATTTATTTTTTTATCTAGGGTATGCACCTAAATTAGATATGAAGAATAATTAAAATAGTTCTTAATTTCACTTTTAAGATGTATATATTTCCATATATGCGAGTCTCTGTTTTTTTACAAATAAAATTATGTTTCTCTCTAGCGAATACACATAAAATTAGATATTAAAAAAATAAAGTTTTAATCTCAGTTTTAAAATGTGTATATTTTCAAAACTGCAAGTCATTTTTTTTTTTAACCCAAAGTTAAAATTATTCTTTTTTTGCTCGGTGGGTGTTTGTTACTGTTCTGCCTATAAAATTCTTCTAAACAAGGAAAATTAATTCATTTTATTTTTACAAATATCTTTACTTTATGGTTTTATCTGGTGAATAATACACTTAAGTAAGATTATATCAAAATGATTAAAGTAGTTTTTAATTTCAGTTTTAAAATGTGTATCTAAAAAAGAACAGGCGATACTCAGATTTGGAAATCTACACATTCTAAAAATAAAATTAAAAGCTTTCAATTATTTTTAATTAATATTTAATTTTAGGTGTATTTGCTAGATAAAAACATAAATGTATTTAGGGGAAAAATAACTCATTGATTTTCCTTGTTTAGAAGAAATTTATTTGCAAAACCCCAATAATAGTTGACTGGAAAACCAGAAAAGAATTGCCATTTTCTTTTTTTTGCTTACTTTATAATTTTTGAAGGAAATTGCTTCCTCGGGTCAGAGAAGAAATGAACATCTTCCTGGTTGTAGTTTAAGTTGTCTTCTAATTGAGTGTACAATTTCAAAAATATTGATAAAAATTGGTCATTTTGATTTTGTGAAACAAATTAACATGTAAAATTTAGTCTCAAAAAAAAAAAAAAAAAAAAATCATTTCGCATTTTCAGCTGGTCAAAGCAATATCGTTTTAATTTGCTGTAATAAAATAATTTAATGAATAAAAGCACATACAAGTTACATATTTAGAAAGATTATATTATTTTCTTTCCAGCCATATGAATATTTTTAAGATTGAACCAGAAATATGTGAGATATTTCAAATTGAATGGATTAAGTATTATCAATCACAAATGAAATTAGATATCAACTGGAAATGCTATCATTATAGAAAATGAATGGCTTCCTTAGAAAGATGATGATGATTACATTCAATGCCTCTAAAACCAAACTGGTTACATTTTATCACCACTGATTAGACCCCGAACTACCACCAGTCACGATGAACATATGTCCCCTGGAGAAGTTATTGTGCCTTGAGAGAATATTGGGCCTCAAACTCACACCTGACCTCAAGTGGAATCCCTATATACAATCCATCTCTAAAGATGCAGGTAAAATGATCAGTTCCTTGTACCATTCCAGTAAGTACCTGACTCATGCTATCCTCTACCTTTATAAGAGCCAGATCAGGCTGAAAATAGAGTACTGTTGCGATATTTGGGCACTTGAGGTAGAGGATGAACCTTACTGTAAAAAATAAAAAACAAAATGGAAGTAATAATATAAATGAAGTTTTGTTGAGGAGCTGGTTTAGATGCTAACCACCTGCCCATGAGGCAGGTTACTGGGTTACATGTTACCAGTAGCAATCCTAAGCAATAAAAACAAAAGCAACTAATACATGTAATACTAAAATACAAATGAGGAATGTTTGCTCGAGTTTAGACAATATGGAATTGTTAAGCTTTTTGTATGGAGGAAAAAATAATTATGTAATTTGTTATTTTCCTCCAAGATGAAGAGAGACACATATTAGTTTCCATCATTATAGATTGCAGAAATTCTAATCCAGAAAATGTCAAGCCCTTAAAATGATAATTTAAAAAAAGAAAATCTAAGTGTTTAAAATGTAAGGTATATCACAAACACACCAAAAATATAATATGTAGAATATAATTTATACAAAAAGTAGAAATCTATTGAAAATAGGAGAAATAATAGAGTTTTACATTATTTATATTAAGATTATTGTATGAATCTTTGTTGTTGTTGTTATCACAACATTTTAGTTATTGTGATCTCTGGTCTTCTTCAGGTGTCTGTCAATCTTGGCAAACTACAGGGAATTTCAAAATGGACCCTTTATTTAATATACAAAGGTAGAGAATATTTTGCCTTGTTCTTTTTTAGTACTGCTCATTTATTGCATACTCTGTTTCCACTGAATCTAAGTTTGCACTACTCCGCCCAAGAATTCAACTCACAATTAATATGCTACCAAATTCACAAATCAACTTTTTAAGATCCAGTAGACTATTGTCTCGGATAGTGCAGACTTAGACTCAGTGGAAACAGAGAAAGTAATGTTAGCTGTACTAAATAAGAAATAGACGAGATTTTCCTACCCTTGTAAATTAAATAAAGGGTTTAATTTGAAATTTCCTGAAGGTTACTTGGATCAATGAACACCTGAAGAAGGCTAGTGTGTACAATGGCTGAAACACTGTGACAATAACAAAGCCTGAATGTTAACACCATATCACAAAAATTTAAATAGAGTTTTTCAATATAATTTGGCACATCAACATAAATAATATATGCATACAATCTCTTATTCAATAACTTCCAACAAAACCAATTTCTAAATTTGAAATGGCAGTATACTAATATTTAATTATAAGTCAATCTTTGATACACTGATCTTAAACGTTAATACCCTATTATGCATTAAAAAGGGCTTGTAAAGCATAAGTAAAACATTTTTAACAAGTTATACACAAACATGCTATAAGTCATGAGATATGTGCCTAGTATCATGTAGAACCTCCACCTTTAGCCAGTCAAAGTGCAGCAACTTGATATGACATTGATTCTACAAATTGTTGGAACACTGCTAAAGAAATGTCATGTCGTCTCAATAACAGTCCACAGCTGCTTAATGTTTGTAGGGATGCAGGATGTTGCAAGCAAATAACTCCACCATGTCCTATAAATGCTCGATTGAGCTTGTGTTGGGCAAACATAGTGGCCACACTTGTCAGAAGTTTCCAAAAATGTTTCTCAAACCAATTCTAGGCAACTTGGGCCCAATGGTACAGTGTATTATCTTGATGGAATAACACATTGTTGTTAGAGTACATGGAATCCATGAATGGATGAAGATGGTCACAAAGATGTAATGGTCATCAGTCAAAGATGTGTCAATAATGCCATGTGAATGCAGCCACTACACCATTATGGAAACACCACCAGCAACTTGCATGGTACAACTAGGATCCATGGTCTAATGAGGTCTATGCCAAAACCCAAATCCTACCATCAGCCCGAAATGTCTCAAACTGTGACTCCTCAGACCATGCTCTATACTGACTATGCTCTAGGGTCCAATTCAGAATGTCATGAGCTTAGGTTAGATGCTAAATCCAATGTTATGGTGTTATAAGGGGAACCATGGTAGGTCTCCTGCACTCATATACCAAAAAAAGCAAAAAAACACTGAACTGGCCTGCTGGATCTGCCTTGTACCTCTGACATTGAATGTGGATGTGAATTAATTACCATAGACAATTCTAGCCAGATGACTTTGATTACAATAATTAAGGACATGTGGTTGACCACTGCCTTGTCTACAATACAATGTGATATGGTAGATTAAGGGATGTCAAATGTCTCCTTAATTTCAGAAATGGAATATCCCACTATTCTTATGGCCCTATTCAAACTTTGATAATTTATGTTGCCTTGCAGTAACTGACTCACTAAATGATATAGGTCTGGGCATTTCCATGATGTCAAGGTACAATGGCACCATTTATAATTACTTTTACATACTGCCACATAAGGACTTTTAATATGTCAGTGTATTTACCATCACATTATTGACATGCTTTCCTGCAGGTAGAAAGTCTGTGTCTAATGGTATTTTAAACTTTTCAATTTTCAAAATTTCTAACATTGGATGTAATAACACATTTTTTCCTATCCACATTTCTTTCAATTTGTATATTAAATAAATGTGTTTTTTTCCTCTTTTCATAAAGGGCAAATAACATGCCATTCCAAAAGTAATGTCTGGAATATGATAGTGAGAAATTCATAAGTATTTTCACTATTTTAAAATGTCCAAATAAACGTAATACATGCAGGAACATGTTCATAGAATTTTAAAGAAGTAAATTCAATTCAACTAATTTAGTGATTAACTAATGATGTTTACAGAGCATTTAAGATGTGTAATTATTTATGAGTTTAGAAAAGGTGATAATGCTGCAGAAGCCACCTGAAGTATTCATGGTGTTTATGGGATAGATCCTTTAAGAAAAATAAATTACTGAAGATAGTTTGAAAGGTTTACAAAAGATGACTTCAGATTTTTAATCCGAAGTCATCTTTTGTACCATAAACAGGCTATGTTGAAGAGTTTAGCAGTGACCTATTCTTGTTTAAACCTTAGAAATAGTGCTGTTAAAAATTTAGATCAAAAACTGAACACAACCAAAAACAATCTAAAATATGGTAGGGTTACATTGGTATGGCTGACCCAGTGGCATATTTACAAGTGTTTGAGGTGGGTGTTAAAATCTTAAGTGCTAATTTTTTTACGCAACTTGGAAGATTGGTATATTATTATCTTCCTATCCACATTTCTTCCAATTTGATATTATAGCATACAAAGCTAAGCTTAATTACTGTTACCAAAGTTTTTGACTATTTTGTGTAAATCACACAAACAATTTCCAAAGGCTGAAAAGTTAAATAAAAATATTTTATGGTCAACTTTGTACACTTACCAGAACTTCTGTTTTTCTTCCCAGGAGGTTCATAACTAAATTCATCATCAAGAGGCCCTGAACAAAGCAAAGAAAACTTTAGCATATTCAAATGCAAAGCATATGTTTTAAATAATATTAATTTTATTGTACAAGATTCATCAATCTCTTTGAGATAATTCCTAAAGAAAAAGAAAAGTTTTACCTCAAATGATGGAGAAGAGATGGATAGCTGAATGAGAAAGTTGTTAGCACAAAACACTGAGAATAATAAACAAATTTTAATTAGTAAGTTCTTTCTCCATAGTAATTAATATTGCTCTAGTTAATTTTAGGATAAAATTAGTCTAAAACAGACCTACACAATTAAACACTGTAGAGGGTCACATTGTTTATAAAAGATTATATTGTTTACAGAAAATTAACCTTGGGCTACAAGAGCAAATTTTTAGATTAAATTACTGAGGGGAAAAATGTTGGAAATGCACTAATTTATCCCAAAGGAAGTATGTCTCAATCAAAAACAAATATTGGCTGAATAAAGTCAGACTTCCACAAAACTGAATTTTGTACATGATCAGTTGCTGAATTTAATATTTTGAAAATCCCTAGTGGGACACAATTTGTGCAGGCCTGGTCTAAAAAGAAAATATTATATACAGCAATCTGCTTGATTTCTGTTATTGACTAAGTGGGTACACAAATACACACACATACACACAAAGAGGACAAAGCTTAAAATTTGTTTGTTGACACATGAATAGTTTAACTAATTTTGTTAATTCACTGTTTATTTTTTAGCTGAAGTACTCATACAAAAATAAAAATATATATGCATTAGTACAAATCAAGGGCTCAAATTTTTATCTGGAAAATTGATGCTCCTCATCTACACAATATATATTTTAATCATTTCACCCCAAGCAAGGCAATAAAGCCACTAAGATGCAAAGGGCTACTGATTATTAGAGAATATGAGAAAAAAAAACATTAAAGAGAGAGAACAATAAAAGAACAGGAATTAAGAAGACAAAAGATAACAATCAACATTGATCTTCAAAATTTTAAATGCAAAGATGATCAAGAAGCTGGAAGAGAGTTCCACAAGCGAGAAATGTGAGAAGAAACTGTTACATCTTGCCATTTCAACTGTAAAATGAGGAAACCTAACCAACAATCTAATAGTATGCTTACATTCATAAAGTCTATGTACCAAAGAGATAAAATCATCAGAACAGTTGTCATGAAACTATTTATATAAAAAGCCACAGGGAAACATTATAGTGGTGAGAAAGTGACCGACACCAAGATGCTAAGTCAGGACCAATAGCATTGCAGATTCTTTTCTCAAGACTCTCTAAATGCATAGCAGAAGCACCATGCTAGATGTAACAGTAATATTCAATTATTGGATGAATGGTAGACTTATAAATATCTAAGCAGACCTAGCAATTGATTCAATATAATCTTTCCATGTCATATTAGTGGAGAACATTAGAACAAGGCATAATTCACACTCCTAGGGCTTAGCATCAACCATGCTGTTGGAAGGCAAAAAAAGTTCTCTAAAACAATTAAAAGAGAGCAGTTTCATTTTTCAGGCAATGAAATTAACAAGCTGTTTCTTGCTCCAATTAACAATAAAGCATAGGTCATTTTTAAGATCAGCTGCTAATTTAACCTTATCAAACAGATCAGACTTGCTATTAAGACAGAAGTAAATAGTTGTATTATCAGCATAGATATCAAACTGGTCATTTATGAAAATTAGAAACAACATCAGTCCAAGAATAGAGCCATGGGGGACACCTGTATTAATACAAAAAGATCTAGAAGAGATCACTTTCATTTTGTGATTTCATAAGAAAAATCGAATGAGTTCAAATATTTGTCCAGAAATATAACATTTAAACTTGTGAAGAATGCAAGCATACCAAACCCTGTCAAATGCCTTTGTAATAAAAAAAATATACACATCTAGTCACTTCCTTTTTTGTTGACAAGGTAGGTCATTATTTGAATCTTTGTTAAATTCCTCCCTGATCTTTCAATCACAATAGATGAAATCTAAAAATGGTCTCTTTTCTGGAGATTTTTTTTTTTTTTGAGTATGGGGAGACTTGCTTCTGCTTCATCTCCAGTTGAGTTGTTTGCTTCCAGGAACATGGAGACATCATTTATTAAAACATTCAGCCCTAGAAATGGACAGAGATTTTTGTGACATGGCATCCCATTAACCAGGGTTGAATGTTATCAGATAATCCCAGTTACTAGTCTTATAATACAGTGGTTTTGTAGGACTTTTAGTTTAACAAGATCCCCATCCCCGACCTTTTTTCTTGAATTCTGAAGCTGGTCTTGATCCACTTGATTCAAATCTCATAAGTGGATTCCTGTAGTGAAAGAGATAATCATTTACCCCGAAAAAAATTTAGGTTCTGTGTGCGATCTGCCGAAGAAAAATTATCAAAAAGTAGTTAGAAAAAAAAAAATCTACTTCGATGACTAGAATCTATGCTAATGTTCTCCCCTCCCCTGAATGGCGTGACCAATCTGAAAGATCTCTCGATGAACCAAAGCCGTTGTTTTTCGCTTATAAAGGCAGAAGATTTTCTGAGCTGGTGGGCGGAACACGTGTTTTTTGCTCGTGAGACGTGAAGGTTGGACGCGTGACCACATTTTGTCGTTTCTGCTATCTGTGCTCTGGGCCGAATCATTTTGCCAAAGACTGCCGCTATCAACGCAAAGAAATGCGCAGCGGGTCGGCACATAAGGCACGTCTCGATCTACGATGTTTCCAATGTCATAAAGTAGGTCACATTGCCTCTAAGTGTTCGGGAAATGGAATGGGGGATGCGATGTCAACACCGGACTCTTCCCCTCATCGAGCATGAAAGAGAGGTGCTCCCTGTGATTAAGGTGTGCATCAATGGAATAACACATACCGCTCAATGTGTTGCCGGCCATCATGAAAGCCATCATGGATGCTGTGCTGTCCAGGGATCAGACAATTCGTCAAGTGATATCAGCTTACATTGATGACATCTACATCAATGAAACCTTAGTGCCCGCTGCACAAGTGAGAAAGCATCTTGCGGACTTTGGGCTCGAGTACAAGAACCCAGAACAACTGGAGGATGGTGCTCGTGTGCTCGGATTGCAGGTCTGGGGGGAGCACAACATACTTTACTGGAAACATGGAAGCGAGCTCCCAGACATTCCCAGACACATCACACGACGCATTTTAGCGTGTTCTCGTTATGTGGAAAGCTGGTGGGACATTTTCCTGTGGGCAGCTGGATCTGCATTGCAACTGCATTTATCAAATGGAGGGTGACTGATGTCACTTCCAGCTGGGATGACAAAACAAATGATGCTCCCCTTAGACACATGATAGCAGAAGTCATTACCAGGGTGCGTCAAGACGACCCTATACGTGGTAGATGGTGCGTTGGCAGATGTGAATTTGATGTCTAGGTCAACGCGAGCACCCTTGCAACAGGAGTGTGTATTGAAATAGATGAAACTGTCGTGAAAGATGCGTGTTGATTGAGAAGGATACACAACATAGCAATCTGTCGGAATTAGACACCGTTATCAAAGGAGTAACCGTGGCCTTTCAATGGAATGCAAAGGTGTTGCATTTATTCACAGATTTCGCATGCATGCATAAGTGGATAGCAGACACTCTTACGGGGAAGGCCAGGATACATACAAAGGCTGCAAGCAAAATGCTCATTGAAGGCGGCTAGACACACTGGGAAAGTTGGTAAGCGAGTACAACTTATCAGTAGATATACAGCTGGTCAGATCAAATCGGAACAAGGCAGATACTTTAACAAGGGTACCCAAGAGATGGCTTGACGCTATTAAGAAAGAGGTAGAGCCAGTAGGACATGTCTGTGCAACATCAGTAAGCGACCGTAACTCAGATTTACTAAAATCTGTGCATTGCCAAAGTGGACATCCCTCCGTATCCAAAGCTGCTGTCAGGGCAGTGGTCAGAGAATGCAAGGAGTGTTAGTCCATCGAACCACCACCTGTGCAATGGCGAAAAGGACAACTGAGTGTGAGCAAAGTGTGGCACCGTGTTGGAATGTACATCACCCATCATAATGGAACTCACTATCTAACCCTGACTGACTGTAGCCCAACCTGGTTCACTATTTGGTGACGTCTGCATCAACAGGATTCCACAAGCGTGATTGACCACTTACGAGTGTTGTTCTTTGAATGTGGACCTCTAATAGAACTCCTCACTGACGACACTGCATTCTGCAGTGGACTATTTAAAGATTCTTTGTATTTGTGGGGAGTACACTTCAGATTTCTCTGCACATATGTCACATCAGAAAATGGCATAATCGAGTGATGCCATCGGAGCATCAAGAGAATCACTGCTAAGAAGCAGTGTTGCATAATGGAGGCAGTGTATTGGCACAACGTTACTCCTAAAGACAATAATTATCACCATCAACTGCACCAGCCAACATGATTTACTGGTACAAAGTCCGGCTAAGAGGCATAGACACGATGCGTTCAACTGAACAGATAAAAGAACGAGCGCCGTATGACCTGTGCGATTGCGTGTGGGTGTAGGCTCCACATAGCTGGTGTACAACTCGGGTGGGGCATGTCACCGTCATAAGTAACTCATGCTCTGTGCTGGTTGATGGAATACCAAGACACATAAAGGACTTGCGTCACTATGTAGGTTCAGATACTTCAACACGTGACACTAGCAATGAGTGTTCAGGAAGTGAATGAATAATAACCATTGGAGGTAGGGCTAGCACCTCTTCAGACGGCGAAGACTCTGGGTGTGAGGTTGTTAGATCGGAAGAATCCTCAAAAGACGAGTCTTCAGAACATACCACACAATCTCCTCCAACAGTCGCCCCGCTCTGGAGAAGCTCAAGAATAAAGAGGCCCGCCCCTGTGTGTCACTTATGTGACAGGGGGGAGTTTAGTGAAAGAGATAATCAGTTTCCCAGTTTGTGTTCTGTGAGCGATCTGCTGAAGAAAAGTTACAAAAAGTAGTTAGCAAAAATCTACTTCAATGACTAGAATCTATGCTAATGTTCTCCCCTCCCCTGAATGGCGTGA